ACAGGAGAACTTGAGTAGGCAAAGGTTTCACTTTTCAAACAGAGGTTTTAGTTGGAATTGACCCTTACAGGAAAAATGAGCCCACGAGACTTAAGAACGTACCTGGCATTGGCTAGGCTTCCTGGGAAACCAGAGGCTGAAAGGCGTTTGGGAAAATGCCCATCTCTCCACGTGAGAAGAGACAAGTTCTTTCAGAGCCCCAGTTATCCATGATTATTCACCTTTAATGAGTCCTTCCAGATCTCTCACTTCATTACACTTCCTTCTTCTGACCTTATGGTATAAACTTTTGGTTACCAGGGTTTCCTCTAATGACATCCCTATGCTCTCTCTGCAAACAGACACTTTTCCCCTCCATGTTTCAGCAGAATTCTTGCCATGACTTCTGTTTCATGCCTCACAGTTTCCACTTGCAGAAGCCCCCAATTTCATGTGCCTTCCCTGAGCTTGAGCTGCCTAGGCAAGAAGATGAAGGTGCCCATTAAGGACCAAATCTCTGGGTCTAAGCATTAACCTAGTTGAATGCTGTGTGTTCAGGAACTGGGCGGCAGTTCTCATCCTGGCTCTGCCTCAGACCCGCTGTGTGACTTTGGGCAGGTCATTTCTTCCATCTGGCTTTCTTGCTTTCCCCATCTGTAGAAAAGGGCAAGTCTCATTATCCCTCCCTGTATAAAACATCCCGAGATCTACAAAAGACAAACTGCATTGAGAGCCAGGCACTATTATTACTAGAGCTCTGTAATACCAAACAGACACTGGCAAGACACACAAAAGTAAAATAAATCGAAGGGCAAGGAAAGCAGAAAGATCAACGGAGCACACAAATTGAAGAAAGAAGGGGAAAAAATCTGGTGAAAACCAGACTACAACACTGCGGCACCATTCCTGTGGTCTAAGTATATACCAAAGGACAATGCTATTCAGAAGCAGGTCTACAAATCCCGTTGTCTGTATTCTCAGTCTTTCTGTTTTTAGAGGCCTTTAGTTTGGTGAGTCTAAACTGCTGCTCCTACCTAACTCTGCACATAGGAAAGACTTTTTGTATGGTTTGGCTTAGAACTGTATTGACTGACTACAGCTTGAAATGCTGGGGTTTCAACCCCAAGCCCCAAATTAAGGTTGACATGGGGGTGATTCCCACAGCCCTTCCCAAAGGGGGGGTGAGTTTCCCTTCAGGCTTCCCTCCAGGGTGGTGCCGGCCTGGCAGACAGAGCCATTGGTTAAATGAGCCCCAGGGGTCCCACACTGAGTAACCAAGGGTCAGGTGTCCACTGAGGGGTAACAGCTGGGACCACTTGCAGGCAGGGGCAGTGTCTGTGTGTGAGGTGGATGCCCTGTGCAGAGTTCCCTGTTGGGGAAGGACCTCCTGCCTCCCTGGGACTGGGCTCCAGTCAGCTCTGGCTTTTGTAAATGTGGGCTGTGTAGAAATTTAGTGTGTGGCTTCCTTGGTCTGATGTATTTGGCTTGTTGACTCAGTTGTCTCCCGTCCCTTCTATGGGAGACTGCATGTCACCATTTATTCCACCCATTGTTGGTTGTGTGGTGTCGTTGTTGGTGTCAGTGGGATTGATGTCGATTATGTATAATCTGAATGACTTGTTTGTACCCCCAGTGCTCACCCAGGTACTGACCCTTTTGTATCAAATACAATTTGGTTATTGGTTCATCTTTATGCTGGCTGTGTCCTTTATGCTAGGCCTGATCATTGGCAAAACATAGCTGTACAGCTCAAGTAGGTGAGAAGATGCTCTGTCACCTTTTGAGATCAGCCAGGATTATTCTTTCTCCAGCTGGGAAAACAGTCCCTAAGAAATGAAAGGCACAAGAAAGCCTGGATGCAGAGCTGTAGGACAGTTAAGTGAACCTAACTGACATTTATGTAAGTGTGTATGTAGTGCTTTAAAAGGGAAGATAGGCACAGAATTATAGCATCATCAAGAGATAACTGAGGCTCTGGAATCAGCATATATGACTGTTACTCTACAACACTACTGGGCAAGAGGCGAATTGCGATCCATCTGTCAGTGCGTCCTTTGCTGTCACAGCATCCTTGCTGCAGAGACTACCACGTTCTGCTTCTTTCCATTATGGATGAGGCTGGAATGTCCCTGTGATTTCTCTGTACAAGGAGTTACAGTGCCCCTCTAACCAATTTTCATTATATTTCCCAAGCAAAGAGCAGCTTGTATCTTGGGATTAATATAGAAGAGGACAAAAATTCAAATCCTGTCTTTGCAATTCCTAAGAAACCACTCACCTTTGCTTTCGAGAGAGAGCAGCAGAAGCTGAGTGTGTATGAATTGGTTTTTGAATGTTTGGAGTGAGAGTGCTATGAGATGGGCTGTGTCTGCAAGGAATAGGTTACGGTATGAATGCAGGGTCATACATTGCCTTTGGTGGATTTCTTTTCCCCTTGCTGTTTGAGATTTCAGGCCCATCTCTTCCTAAAGCTGTGTGCAGCCTTGTTTCTTAGTTAAAAGGATTTTCTTTATTATTTTTTAAAGCCTGTTTGATGAGTGATATGAACTGCCAGTGAATACTACATTTCACTCCCCCTCATTAACATTGTAAATTAATTTAGGCCTCATTTAGATGCAGGATTAACAACCTGAGGACTAATCCACTCTTTATTCAGAGGACATATTCAGAATGAGCAGTCTTTCGTCTCACATCACTCAATTAGTTAGCAGGACCATCTCTTGGGAATAAAATGATATTTCTGTCTCCGTTTGACCTTGAAGAGTTCCTTTCCAAGGTAGAGTTCTAGGAGACCTCAGTCCTGGTCCCAGCTGTACTACAGGCTTCCTCTGCAACCTTGGTCAAATGCTTTTACACTCTGCATCCATTTTTCCCAATTTGCAGATCTAGAGAGTCAGACTTAGAGAAGAGGCAAAAGATTAAAAGTAGTGTTGTTTATGGTGGCTTAGGCCAGCGTGTTTTATTTCACCAGGGTTAAGGGTACATGGGCCATAGGCCAGCTGCCAACACAGAAACTTGTTAAGCTGAAGTAATGCACTTAATAAGTTTTCGGTTATGTGCCCCTACCCTTACTTACAGGAAATGGTGTTTTATTTTGAGAGAACTCTCTTCCTGTAATGGCACTGTGATTAATATGTTATTATCTGTATTGCAGGGGCAAAGTCAAGCCATCAGTTTTCAGATCAGAAAAAAAAAAACCCAAGAGAAAAATGTTGCTTTTCTTAAAGCAACAGTTATTAGTTACAAAACTCACGACACAGCAGCAATTTTGCAGCATATCCAGTGACACTGTTTTCAGATGCCTCGTACATTTACTAGAGAAATAAATAACATTTCTTCCAATTAACAAATGAAATGCCCTGTTGGAGCTTAGCTCTTACTTGTCAGTAAATCATCTGCAGAAGAATTTCATCCACTGAGGGGAATGAAGATTAAATATATGCTTTGGCAAATGTCGTTTTCAACCAGAATATTTTCTTGAAGGCACTTTGAGTCTAATGATACATTGAGGACCTGTTCCTCTGAGTACAATAAATAAATAAAAATATTTGCTGTAGAATAGAGCCTGATGGACAACCAGTGCCACTTTGGGCATAACTGACTGATGCTACCTACAATCACTAACACTTGTAAAGCTCAGGCCTTCTGTTCTGGACATGTGCTGCACACATCCCCTTAGCTGAGCTCTGCTGTCCCACAAGGAGAGCATTTTTAAAGCCCTAATACAAAATGCTATTAATTGTGTGTACTGCAGCATTACCAAGAAGCTGCAATCCCAGATGAGGACCGTGATGTGCCATGGGTTGCAGAAAATAAAAAGGAGGACATACTGCAGTGGTTCACATAGTTTGAAATCAAAGTCCAAATGACAGAGCTCCAGAACATTCTCACCTCTCGTGTGATAACAAAGAATGATTTTATACAGTTTATTATCAGATACAGTTTCATGGATAAGCTCCTGACAGGCATTTGGTATCCACTGTGGTAGCATAAGGAAAAAAGCATGGAAAAAAATGTCTTTCTGGCACACTATTTCTAATCCTAATTGAATTCTAATTTTTTTCAAAGAGATAATTGTTCCAGTGTGGTTCCCTCAGACAGATGACAGTGACAAGACAACCACAGCACCACAAATTTCTGACTCCAACTAATAATTCTGTAGGAAGTTTCCAAACCAGACTGTCTCTCCCCTTAAAATACTGCTTTTGCTCTCTGGCTAGTCCTTTCAACTCTCCATAAAGATCAAATGTGCTGTCGTAACTACATAAGACTGCCACTCAATGTCATCAAATCCAGCCCATTGACAAAGACACTCCTCTAAACCACCTCAAGGCTAGAGGCCAGAAAAGCTGGATTTGTCCTGGGGTTTTACAGCTCTGTCTGCAGATGTCTGCAACATTCAAACGTCTGCTACATTAGAAGGACATCACAATTGCAGTAATCCTCCTTCCTTAAACACAAGGAGAGAAATGTCTGAAGCTACAGTACCAAAATCATAGGGATATTGTTAATCCATGAGTTACCATGAATGCAATGATTGTTAGCCTTTCCTGCAGTTTGTATCCTCAGGTACTTGTCCTGATGAGTTTTACATTTTCATGCCACACTGTACTCCCAATTACTGTACATTCAGCAGATTCTCTGTAGAGCACATCCAGGGCATCATACATCACACTTATTACCAACTTACAGAGAGTTAAGTGAGAACAACAGGATCCTGCTGTTTTATCATGAGTTTTCTGATGTAGGGGAAGTAGCCATCTCTTATTTGAATTTTGTTGCCATGAATAATGTCATTAAGTTTGTTTACTTTTGGCCCATTCTACACTCAAGTCATTCTGAGCCCTGATCTCCTGCCCACCAGCAAATCAAAACCAAAATATCCCTCATGTTCACTCGTCTTCTTAGTAGGAGTATATTTCACAGCCAATGTGCCCAAGGGCCATAACTGAAGAAACCTGAAAGGACCCTTCTGAGAAGAGGAAGGTTACAAAAAACAGAGAAAAAACAAATACTCTTACCTGTCTGTAATAAGCCAGCCCCACTGTCTTTGACTCCAAAGTGCTGCTGGATGTCTAGTAACACACCTGCAAGAAAACCAGAGAGAAAAAAACTCAGTGCCTTCAGCATTTGAAAAACGTACAGCTCAAACCTTTTGTGAAGCATCAGAAAAGCTTCAAATTCCAGTAGTTCAGACACATAACTTCTAAAGTTTGCACACTGGCTGCTTTTCTATACATGCATACTCAATACTTTTGGGCTACTACAATAATAGCAGAGGTAGGCAGATACAACATCATGCAAAGAGTTTGGGAATGAAATCCTCATACATGAGAAACTGGTCTTTCTACTTAAATAACATCAGTGTTTTCTTTTTGTTTGTTTTCTGCAGAATCCAGATCCCTTCTGTTATTTTACAGAAAAATAAGGAAACGGATTCTGTGCCTTAGGTGATTCAAATGGTTTGACAAATTGAATCCAAGACAAGTTTTAACAAACCTCTGTTGGGAGGAGATATGACACATTGATAGGAGCAATGATGAATGTTTTCACATTTATCTAGTTCTGAGGGGCTTCTCATTTCCAAAACAAATGTAGAAAATAAATTTAAAATAGCTCAGGAAAGGTGGGTAAGTGACCAAATACTTAACTTTAAAGCAACTACAAGCAAAACCAGAATCAACTTTCTCTCTTCCCTGAACCCCCAATATATGAACTGGCATAAGCAAAATTAACAGGTTTTGTAGTATTTACATATTCAGCTAGATTTAGCACTTGGGTATCAAACATACCAATGCATGTAATGTCAGGTACATGTGAACAGGCATGCTTTTGTAATCACCTAGCCAACAGGGAAAACCCACAAGAGAGCTTTTATAATTCATCTTGGGGGACACACTTTTGCCAAGCTGTAGACAGTCCAGTTGTGTCAGATCCAGATCCATATGCCTGAAAGTTTGTCTATGGTCTAAACAAACTGTACTCCAACTTCTTGGATCTGGAACAAAGACAGTTGCTCTCTTAATACCTAGGAAATTCTTATTTAGGCTACTGTCTTCCCCAAAACTGAGGATATGCATGTTTCTTCTTTAAAATCAAGAAACAGCAGTCTCCAACTACACTGAACACCTACAAAAGTTCACCTCCAGTTATAAATTTGATCCAAGGATTTATCCAAAGTATTTCTGCTTATCACTGTAGGTCACAGGAATCAACTAAGCACCAACCTGAACTCACTCACCATATATCTTATCTTTTGGGACTGTCAGGATCACACTAAATGACAAACACAGAGATAAAAGACCCAGAGATAACTATTCCCAGCAGACATCTGGAACAATGCCAAGGAAACAGACATAAATTAAAGGTACTAAAGGAAAAAAAGATACAAAGAAGGATGGAAAAAGTAAGAAACCTAATTTATCCTATTTCATATTACTTGTAAATCATTTACTCAGGGCAGCATTCAGGTTGCCCTTTAGACTACCAATATCAGCCCAGTAACACTAGTTCAACCTCTTACGTCCTACAATGACCCCCTACTCCCGTATTCTATCACTGTTTAGCCCTGAGCAGAGAAGGCTCGGGGTGGGGAAGGGTGTGAATCTTATCAATGTGTGTCAATACCTGATAGGAGAGGGAGTAAAGAAGACAGAGCCAGGCTCTGGTGCCAAGTGAAATGAGGCAAAGGGCAAAAACTGAAATACAGGAAATTCCATTTAAACACTAGAAGAAATATTTTTACTGGAAGAGTGGTCAAACATTGGAACAGGTGGCTCAGTGAGGTTGTGGATTCCCCATACCTGGAGATACACAAAACCCAGTAGGACACAGTCCTGAGCAACCTGCTCTAGTTGAGCCCACTTTTAGCATCAGGCTTGGACTAGGAGATCTTGAGAGATTGCTTCCAACCTCAATTATGCTGTAATTCTGTAATTTTCTGAAGTATTAAGTGCTTGATTACATCCAGCCTGGTAGTTCTCCCCTGCCTTTCATTTTCTTTGGAGCATTCCTGTCTACTGTCATTCCAACAGGTAGTTCTTAGCTTCCTCTTGGATGGCAGATTCACCTCCATTTTCAAAGTGCCCTGGCGTTTCTTGCCTGTCCTTCCCTCATTTGCTCCATTAATAACTGAGATATCATTATCCAGGCAATATCTGTGGAACCAAAATAAATTTTGCATTTGCCTAGCAAAAGCCTCTGTGGCTGTAGATGACTTAGATACTTACAACACTCCAGTTGTAGAAGCCAAGTCAGAGGGATCCAAGCTCTCCTTTCTTTTACAGATGCTTTCAATACAAGACTTAATCTGAGCAGGTACATCACCAGCTGCTCAAAGTGATGCCCATTCACCTCCTGATCCACGGGCAAGTGGCTTCCTGGTGGATGCCATGCTCCTGTTAAGCCCATCAACTTGCAGGTTCTTTTATTTCAGTAACAAAGGGCTAAGTTTTGCACCCACGTTTCTTTCAGGATGGGGCTTCAAATCCCACTGATATGATGATAGATTTATGTTTTAAAAATCAAATAAGCTCTGTGAAGCAGACTAAAAGTATATTACCTAAAGGCTGCAAAGAAAAACGAAGACCCTAAACCAGGGACAATGCAACTGTACTGCTCCCAGCACTCTAGTTAGGATGGCACCTGATGAAAAAATTTATCCCGAAGCTTGTGCAGACAGACTACCCTGATGTTGGTTTCATGGTAGAAACCTCTGCGCAGAGGTGATCACCAAGCAGGATTCATAGCTCCTAAACTAGCAGGTGCACAAGGGTCAAGAGCAAGCCAGTAACAGAATCTCACCTGTACAAAAAGAAAAACGGCACAACCTACTGTCCTGCCACAGGATACCAAAGGGACTGATTCAGAGATGGGAAAAGGGACATTAAGAGCTGTAGCCCTGCCTTGTTAAAACTGTCTGGGGAGGCAGATCCTCTGAGTGGGAAGGTTGGACCAGACTATCTCCACAGGTCCCTTCCAGTCTCAACTATCAGGACTCTGTGCTCCTATATCCGCAACGGAATATAGAGGCGCGTCCAGAGGTTCCTCCACCGCCCTGAGAGGTGCCTGCCCTGCCTACAGCAACATATTCCCAGTCAGGCCAGAATGGCAAAGACGTCCATTAAACCACCAAAAGTTACAAGGAGCAGGAGCCTGGGATGTGATGGAAATCAGAGTCAGAAAGATTTTTTTGGATTTGCATCCGAAACCAGAACAGCAAGTGCAAGGGATTATAATGGTGCCTATACAGTAAAGCAGAGGAGGTCTTCCAGTTCATTATAAAGAAATTATCTGTCCAGTGACAATGGCTTTATAGTTCTACAGTGTTTTTTTTCCACAGGAGATCATAACGTGTTTTACAAGCTTGAACTACTGTAGCCATAAATGAAATACTCTTAGGACACTGAAATGCAGCCACCTTGGATTAAGCCTATAACTTTATTCTGGTGGTGGAGAAGGAAGTGGGTTCTGTGGACAGTACAAAACAGAACCACAATTATAAGTCCTGTGTGAGCTTGGAAGGTTTCAGATGATTAAGAGAGATCTGCATGTCTAATTGGCATGAATTTCCTACTCCAAGTCTATTTTGTATTCTATTTGGACTACAGGTGTTTTGATATGGGATTTAGAGCATTAAATTAGAGGCAGCGGCAAGCAGATGATGCAACGCAGCTATGAAGTGATAGGAGTTTCTCTCTGCTGTGGGAGTTTTCCTGCTCAGCACACTCACATGGGAAGACACTCCTCCTCTCTTAAATTTGCTCAGCTCTGTTTTCACCTCACCATAACAATGACTCACCCCAAATTTTAATAAGATTTAGGGATACAATTAAGCAATGATAGACCAGGGGAGAGAATACAGTAAAATGACAGAAATGATAGAGCTTTTGACTTTCCTTCCTGCTTCTAGATGACGGGATGGCAGGGACAGCCGGAGCCAAGCTCCAGACAATGATCATGTTGCTTGTGGAGATGTGCTCCCAGGTGCCTCACAACACCTGACGCAATCCATGAAAGGGAAGCCGCCACATGTGGCTGACAAGGACTTTCTTGGATTAAAGTTCAGACCTACATCCCAGGAGGATCTCAAAATAACCACGAGCAGCTAAGAGGCACCACTCTTCCTGAGACAGTCTCTCAGCAGGCCTGAAGGCCATCTGGGATGTCTTTATGATTATATGGCACATGTTAGTGCTATCACCTGTTATTTGTTAAACACACTTGGCATTCTCAGGACCGAACAAACATACAGGAAATACGGTGCCAACCTTCCAAAGTATCTTACCAGCTGAACCAGACACTATTAATGCTGATGTAGATCTTGGAATTCAGTGAGATGAAATATGGGCTGCACCTAGCCAGGAGAGCTGATCAAGACAGGCACAGGGACAGGACTTACTGGGAACCCAGACAAAGGAATTACTAGTCACTTCTGTCCTATCTAGGTTACTTTATGAGGCCTGCCACGCTGGCATCTAAGTACCTGACAAAGACACCAAGGCAGTTATCGGATTTTTGCAGACACTGGGCACAAAGAGTGCTTTAGAAAAGCACTAAAATTGCTTTTAAGAGCAATTTGGAAGATAAAAGGTCTTCGGGCATGGAGTGTTAGATAGGGAGGGAATGCCTAGTAAATGCACAAGAGGAACATGGCTTAACTCATCCACCTACAGTGTCAGAGGGTTCCTAGGATCTAGTGCAGGATGCAGCGTCCTCTTGCCTCCCATTCTTTAATGGCCACTTCACAAAGAGTGAATACAAAAGACCTGATTCTGAGCCTTTTGGAATGCAGGTACACATTTAACAGCCTAAGTTATTTCTGATTTAGGGGAAATACCTTGCGAAAGGCAAATTTTCCTGGAGGCACATGGTTTAGGCTTCAAACAGGGACGTAGGTGGTACTGATGACACATGAGGCAAGCTGCTTGCCTGGATAGACTGTGTTACTGACCAGGGCTACAACAGAACAAAAGCTGTAAGACTGGAGGATCATCTGATACGCATAAAAAGATATTCAGAACAGAGGGTCATCTTAATAGAAAAGGTTTTTGTGGTAATCATGACTTAAATAACTAGTCCATAGCAGATCTAGTGTGCAGAGTGCATTGGTTGTCCTTTATATTTAAAAGAAAAGTGGAATCCTCACCTAACCACTGCTACCTGTATATATATATGAATAAAGAGTCGCTACGTTAAGAAATTATTCATAAGCTAAGCCACAGTGAAATCACAATTTCAAAGCAGAAAGACATGAGAGCTTCCATGGGAGAGCCCCATTTTCCACTCGCCAAAACAAAACATCATGATTCAATTTCAAACTGCTTCCAAAGCAGGTGCAAAATACAGAGTTAGCCACCGAGCACAAAGCTACAGAAACAAAGGCACAGGTTTTCAGCTCACCCAGCCCTGCATCAGTAATCCAGTGCACAGTCTTTAAACACTGTCTGTGTGCAGCAACACCGTTGGCCAACACATCTATTTACTTAAAAAGCACATGCATTTTTAAAGCTATCTTTTAATGGGGAAAAATTATGGTGCTGGAAAGGAATGAGCACACAACTTTCCAGACAATGCAGGCTGGGCACTGACAGCAATCGCGTGTGCCCCCAGCACCCCCTGTCCTGCCCCACTGCAGCCCTAGACTTGCTCCACTCTCTGGGGAAGCCCTAAAGGAGGTGGAGGAGAACCCACACTCTCTTGGCTCCCCAAGAGCCAGAGCGGACTCTGTACTGACAACTCTTGTTTCCTCCATTACTTGTTGCTACCTACCTCTCCTCCTTATGCTAAAGGCATTTTCCTTCCCCAGCTGTGCGCCCCGGTTCTTCCAGGACCAGCCCCCACAGGTGGGGGTCACTAAGCAGGGACAGCCAAGCCCTGGCCTCCCAAAGGCACAAGTCACCTTCCACCATCAGGCTCTTCCTCATGCCTGCAGCCCTATTCAACCTGCTTCAAATAATGCATTCAGAAGGCTTAGGAGTGGTGTACACACCTGCCTGTTCAGAGACGTGAAAAGATTAGGCGAAGTTTATTCTGAGGCCTGTGTGATTGTATCTTCACGGCAACCCTAAGGTGTGACTGCAGTTCACACACAGATCCCCAAGCTTCAAACAAGCTGGCTTCAGCTCAGCCACCCACTAGCTATTAAACACCAGCTTCACAATTTGGACTCCATTTAAATACTCAGCTGTAGAAAACCACCATGGTACCCTGCTGGTATTTGTACCTCAAGATAAAATCCCACTGCTACCACAACTAGCAAGTCTAGAACTAAAACA